AATTTTATTCAGATTCCTATATTAACTATCTGACTTTCTAACTTGAGTTTGAAATAATCAATGCAAACCGTATGATAAATGTTTACAAACTTCATAGAGAGATGAAAATCTCAACATTGGAAAGTTCCCAATTCTCAAAATTCCCGTTATTTAACCGTTTCGGAGAGAATTGAAACCCTCTTCATGGGTGCACATAAAAAGGGCTGTAGCTTCTTCCTTAGGGAGCATTTTTTGACCCATATTTATTTTTGTGCGTAGAATACATTCACAAAGTAGGTATTGCACGCTCATTGTGGAGCATTCTGTATACCTATCGTAGCTAGATTTTTATTGAGTTGGACCAATGGTTGATCTTTATTGTATCTGGAAGCTAGAGCATGAAAGAAATAATTCTTCAGTATTTTAAGAGGTTTTGTAGATTGGTCCACATGAATGACAACGAAATGAATTTTAATAATTACCTAAACATCATAGGAAGTGACCATAAATTCATTCTGATTTGGAGATATGTTGAGAAATAATGCTGATGAGTACGATTGTTCAAAACTCTATGAATAGCTGCACAATTATAGCTGTTACACCAAAATTCAGACAAGATAACATTTCACCAAGAAAGTGGAAAATTAAGAAACTATCATAACTGACTACAAATAATTCATTGTTTCGAGAATGAAATATACAGTATTGTTTTTGATTATTCTGTCTTTTTTTTCAGGAAATGAAAGCCATGTTATACATGGCTGTGGAAGAGGCACCATCTGCAGAAAGCGTAGAACCTGAAGTAGTTACCAGACACCTTGCTAACTTTGATGAACAGTTCTTCCTTTACTGTGACAAAGAACTTAAAAAGATCAATACATTTTACTCAGAGAAACTAGCTGAAGCAACTAGAAAATATGCAAATTTGAACAGTGAACTTCAAATTTCTTTGAATAATTTGATAATGGGAAAAAAAAGAGCTAGTGGGAAGAAGAATATACCAGTTAGGAAATTGCAGGAACTCAAATTGGCTTTCAGCGAATTTTATTTGAGTTTGATATTGCTCCAAAATTATCAAACTCTCAATCATACAGGTTTTCGCAAAATCTTAAAAAAACATGACAAGGTGAGGCTTGTTTTTCTTTCACTAACTCAAGTGGGGTTTGCAAAAAAATAAGCAGTGTGTAATTCTAAAATATTTTAATGTGTTATGATAGCTTGAACAACTATTTGAAAATATTTTTATACAATTCTGAAGATATTTCATATTTTGTGTGAGAGAGTGTGTATGTGGGTGTGTGCGGGTGTGGCCTGTTTTTGTTCTCCTGTTAGTAGTTGGCATTTATATGAGACAGCATGTGTGACTGCTCTTATTATATGAAAAAAAAAAAAAAATACATTCCACTCGAATCTTTTCAATAAATCGCATGGGAAAAATACTGATCATCTGAAATCATTATGGTGAACCGATCAGGAACTTTCACTTTTTACTCTCACAGCTTTTCATTGTCATTACTTGAGTGAATGTTTTGTTTTCAAAAGAATATCTGAATGGGAACAGCTGCAAAATATTATGCATTATGGCATTACATGGTACACTTGACGAAAGTAAATGAATCATTATCACAGAACTCGAAGACCTGAGTTCTGTGATCATTATCCAGTATTTTGTTCAGCAATATTGAATGTTTTCTTTTCGAATCCATTCACGAATAAATTAGTACCATTAGATTCATCAAGAAATCATTTTGTCAAACATAGTCGTCATTTAAAAAATTATAGTTAGATACGGAATTGTAATTTTGCCAACTTGCTGATTCCTCTCTATGAAATTTTGCGTCCGATCATGGCTACCGAGATGCAATATTAAAATTGACCCTAGAGAAATAAAGTTGGCGTGACAACTTTTGAAATTGTCATTCTCATCCAGAATTGTCTCAGTCATTCAGGGTGTTCTGTTTGAAATTTCAAAGCTGAAGCCATTTCTGCTGAAACCGGAAGTGATCAGAAAGTAAAAAATATGCGAACATTCTTCTTTTCTTTTTTTTTTTGGATGTATGAATAAATTGACATTCATCATACAGGACGTGGAAAGAAATTCTGAATTGAGAAAAACCTAATCACAAATCTGCGATTGAGGTCTATAATAATAACGAGTTTCCATCGTTCAAGTTTGAACCCCTTGATTGGGTGAAAGTATTGAAAAGGAACATTCTCAGATATATCTATGAACGCAAAAAAATGGATATATAAATATAAAGAAATACATTGAGAATTTGCATTCTCCATGTGATGAAAATATTAATTTTTTCTCGGTTTATTCAACAGAAAACAACTACTTTCGAGAGATGATGTCAATTCTCAATTTCAGAAAATTTTGATTTCTCATGCTCTCTTTTTGGATATTCAACAGATATAATTCAATGTTCAAAGTAGTTGTTTTCTGTTGAATATTCAGAATTATATTATATGCATATCTTCATATGAAGGAGAATGCAAATTCTCTACTTCTGAAGATTTTGTTTTCAAATTTTTATCGTGTGTGTTCAATAGATGTAATTCAATATTCGTCGTGGCATATAGCCAGGAAAGTAGTTGTTTTCTGTTGAATAAACCGAGAAAGAATTAATATTTTCACCACATGGAGAATGCAAATTCTCAATGTATTTCTTTATATATATATCCATTTTTTTGTGTTCATAGCTATATCTGAGAATGTTCCTTTCCCATTCTACTTTTCATTTATCATTCACCTATACCAAATATCACTTTGATACACCAGATATTCAAGAACTTATGACTTGTCTAATTGATTCGTTGACTAGTAAATGATAATTGAGGACATTTCAGTTGTTGTCTACAGATGTTGGGGCCAAATGGAGACAAGAGCATGTCGAAACGTCCCATTTCTTCACGAATCGATACATAGATAAATTGATTAATGATACAGAGAATTCCGTAACAAATGAACTTGAAGGAGGAGATAGACAGAAAGCTATGAAAAGACTGCGAGTGCCCCCTCTAGGAGAACAACAATCACCATGGACAACATTCAAAGTTGGCCTGTTTTCAGGATCATTTATTGTTTTGCTCATTGCTGTTGTGTTATCAGGTGAGAATAAGTGTAACATTGGCCAATAACGTAAAAAAAATCAAATTCAAATAAGAATAAATATTTTCGTACAAATATCAATGATTCGAAGTCATAATTCAAAGCAGTAACCATCGCCGGAAATACCGGGATGTCGAATTTCAAATCATTTCATCAAGGAGTAAGAAGCATTCAATCTGGGTTTATTCTATATTCACAAACTATACAAGTTGAGAACATTTACTCAACAAGTAAATTAGGTGTTCACACAAAGCGTGAGATTCAACCCTTATTCCATCGACGAGTTCAAAGATGAATGACACAAGTTCTTACATCGATTATAATCAATAAAAGCAATTATCAATAAATCAAGTTCAATTCATTTATTTCGAAATAAAAAAGTTAACAATCAATTTTTTCGATGATAACAGGTGTGCCGCTTACACTAAGTGTTCCTCTACCTATCGTTGAGTGGATATTAATAATGAGTTTATTCCTATACCAACTGTTTTCAAACTGGAATTTACTCTAACTGAAACCAATCATCTTTCAAGCTGCTACATTTACTTTACAGCTGGAAACTTTGGCACTTAGATTCATTTCGCCATTTTAAAGCGTACACAAGTTTTGTAAACAACACTATTTTTATAAACCTATCATTTGATGTAATTTTCAGCCATCTTCCACGAGGGCTCTACTGAGAACTTGAAAATAGCTTTCCGTCTCTACCGTGGGCCCCTTCTCTTCATAGAATTCCTGTTCTTAATCGGTGTTAACGTTTATGGATGGCGTTCCTCAGGAGTTAACCATGTTCTCATATTTGAACTGGACCCCAGAAATCACGTCTCTGAGCAACATCTGATGGAACTCGCTGCTGTTTTTGGAGTAGTCTGGGCCCTAAGCTTGTTGAGCTTCTTATTCAGCAAGAGTCTCAGTATAGTGCCTTACATTAATCCACTTGTCTTGGTGTTTATAATGTTTGTTTTTTTGTTCAACCCGTTGAAAGTGTTCCGACACGATGCAAGGTTCTGGTTTTTGAAAGTATGCGTAAGTAAAGAGTGTTGGGAAGATCGATTAGTAAAATCTTATTTTTAATCAAGATGTTTCAATAGCCATTATGAGGAAAATCTCATCGGTAAGCCAATAAATAGTTTCTTGGTACTTTTGAATAGGTGTATACAGGAAATGGTCCAATCAGCTTGGGAGAGCCTTATGCCCCGAAAGTAACTCGACGTGTCCTACTAGTAGGATCTTCTGCCTCACGACTTAATGTCCTATTAATAGAGTTTTGACAGTTCATTGTCATCTTGCTATGTAGGTATATTAAATCCCGTCGGAGCAAACTTTCTAGTTTTTCTCAGTTTTCAAAGAAGTTTCTTTTTGAGAAATAACTAAAATACTTTTCAGCTCATTTGGGATTCTACTATCTATTTATGATGTCACTCACAAAATTATGTATGTTTATACCTACAAATAGGTTGGTTTATTTATGTTTATTTTAATAGTATCTTTCCTCAAATAGAAGCCATATAACCATAAACAGTATGAGTATCTAGACGCTAGTGTGACATTTAACCGTGAGGCATAAGATCCCGTAGGACACGTAGCTAGTGCCATTTCGAAAACTATACATTTCACTCATTTCAGAAATAAAACGAGGTCAAAATTGTTTTCACTAAATATTGAAGACCAGAAAGAAATTAACTTTTGTCTGAGACATTTTCTTATTAGATTTCAATTTTGAAAGATGCAAGAGACGAGACAAGTTTCACACTCGAAACCATGCATTTTATGAATAAAAAAAGTGACTTGGTTGTATCATTTCAGAAGCTGTAATGAGAGTGATATCACTTTCTAACCTTGGGTTTGTTTTTAAGGTTATTGCGGAGTCAAATCTGATTTTCGGACAGAAACTAACATTTTTTCTAATGTGCTAAGAAAGTATTTTTTCAATACTCTCGATGAAAAAATAAACTAGTTCACATTCTTCTCACATACGTCATATTGAATTCTTATATTTCTTAATGCAGTTTTCTTTTCTGATTAGACAAATAAACAATTTTTGAAGAATTGCCTAAGAAACAAATGCTCAAGAGTTCGTTTGATTCAAATCTTGGCAGTTCAGTACAGCTCTAACGTTAGAAATTCACTTTTCATATCATTTCATATCAAGATAACCAAGATCCCAATGCTTAAGCTTGAATTACCGGCACCATGTATATCACGTTATTTTTGGGATTTGAAGAATATCAATTCACTGTACATTGTCATCTATCAGAAAATCATTGAAACACTGGCTCCGACGATAAGGTTCAGCTTGTGCTTGAATTATACTAATTTGTGAAATAAAAGCGTATACACTGTGGATGGCCTATTAGAAGTATGTGGAGAACGAAAAGACAGAACATTCTGAAAATTGGGATGCTTTGATAATTGAACATTCTCTATCCGTTTAAAATATTTTCATCGATACAGTGTTGCCACTTCCATCAGAAACAACTAGCAACTTTGTTATTTTTTTGATTTCATCAATGTATCCCCCTTGGGATCTAGCTGGAATGATTACAGAGATAATGGTTGTTCAAAATCGAGATTTTTCTCTCTTCTAAAATCGGATTCATGCGATGTGACATCTTACAAAATATATTCATACAAAATATCAGTACAACGTTGCTACTAGTTTCAAAATAATCGTAAAAAACGTGTATATAGTTTTTTCAACAACTTGTATATTGAAAACGGATGCCGTTACGAAAATGTTTTACTGAGCAAATCCAACTTATTTTTAAGTGTTCTACCTACCCTAGCAAACGGGATCAACTTTTTTGAAACACCCTGTATTTACTGTAGTCTAACAGTTTTTTCATAATTTTGACTCACTGATTTGTACTTCAAGATGGCAACAATGAGGTGTAGGAGAAAGGGCGAATGTTGAATACATGCTACAACATTATCCGTATGGTTGATCCTGTGAACGAGGTGGTCTTTGATAAGTAATTAACCTATCTTGATTACTAATTCATTAACCTGTCGTGAACCACCTCATTTAATATAAAATTCTAATTTCAAATAACGAATGTTCTTTTCAATATATAAGAAACTGACCTGACCTGAGATGGGATAATGACACGCGATAAAGTCATGAAACTATTAGCCGTGACAGGGTCGTATTTATTTTGTTGTTGGCTCTCATTCTGGAATACTGTTGGTTATTAAGTTCTGCAGTGATAGTGTGTTTGTGTTTGAAGATGTCCAGTGCAAAAGCCGTTTCAGGCGGTAGCCGAAAATGTTTGCCTGTTGAAACAAAAATAATTGTTAAAAGTGTTTATTCAAAGTTAGTGGAGCGAGGCCACGAAAAAAATTCTTCTTCTGTAGTAGTCCATACTCAAAGTGGGGGGAATGATCAAGAAAGTAAACTCGAAGTCGTCTCCACAAGATTAAACTTGTGGAGACGACTTCGAGTTCTCTTTCTTAAAAACATTTTTCATTGAAGGAAATATCAACTTCAACCGGCGTTCCTGAAAGCACAGCCTGGAAAATTTTAAACTACTGTAAAGCCTAGAAAAGTATGAAAAGACAGTGGTGCACCTGAATCTGTTGATATATACAATGAGTATTCAATCCGTCGAAAAGTTTATCAGATGTATGAAGAGGAGAAAGTTCCAACATTATTATCGCTTTCAGCGAGGCTATCCGAGAATGATTGTGATAGAATGATAGAATATCTGGAAAAAATAAATAGCGCTAGATCGGAAAATCCAACTATAATATACCTATGTTGAGGTTTTAATGTGCAGGCAGAAACAGATAGCAAGGTTTTACAAAAGATGGAATGATCTTTTTTTTTATTTTTATTTTATATTGTATAACATATGAACTACTTAACAACATAACATTCTAGATATATTATATCACATTCATGACACACACAATCACTGACAACTCAGAGATTAATTTCATAATATACAGAATGATATTATTCAAATGATTATTATCAACATCTTCCCCTAATCATTGAATACTACAAACATTCTGTAGAATATTATTTTCAAAAAAAACCGAAACTTGTCAAACTGACACAAATATCAGATTCTTGATACAAGAGAATTTTTATGAACATTGAATTTAGAATGATTCAGAGGTTTGGTAAATATGTCTGCAATTTGGAATTCTGTAGGGCAATAATCAATATCAATCAAACCTTCTGAAACCTTTTCATTAATGAAATGGAATCTAACATCAATGTGTTTACTTCTTTTGTTGAACTGTCCGTTTTTTATCAGATTTATTGAACTCTGATTGTCCACATTCATTTTCACACATACTCTCTCGTCAATCAGCTCTTCTATTAAAGTCTTCAAGTACAATATCTCCTTGCAACAGTCTGCAGCAGCTATATACTCAGCCTCAGTGCTAGACAAAGCTACAACTGGCTGTTTTCTTGAGCACCAACTGATAGCACCTCCACAGAACATGATGACGAATCCAGTCGTACTTTTTCTTGTCTCTGGATCACCAGCATAATCTGAATCGCAGTAAGCTACCAGTTCTGTTAATTTTGACTCAGCAGAATACGAAATTCCATAACTTCTGGTTGAATTCAAATATTTCAGCGTCCGTTTCACATTTGCTATGTCTTGATCTGTTGGATTTTCTACATAACGACTGCTGTAGTTCACAGCATAAGCTATGTCGGGACGTGTTTTATTACTGAGATAAAGCAAACTTCCGATAACTTCTCTATCAAGCTAAAGAAGTGAGTACTCCAATGATATTGAATAATACAGTTATCTGGAACTTCCATAATTGGAAACTTTCACAGTCGGTCAGTTTTTCAATGTTGATTTCTTCGTGACTATTCATCACTTCTTACTGAAGATTCTTTAGGAATATCCTTTTGGATTCGCTGTATATCGCAAACTGTTATTTTACTTGTTTTTAGTTTATTTTTATACTTTTTATTCGCAGTTTCCTGGGCCCATAACCTGTTGAGGTTTTAATGTGCAGGCAGAAACAGATAGCAAGGTTTTACAAAAGATGGAATGATCTTTTTTTTTATTTTTATTTTATATTGTATAACATATGAACTACTTAACAACATAACATTCTAGATATATTATATCACATTCATGACACACACAATCACTGACAACTCAGAGATTAATTTCATAATATACAGAATGATATTATTCAAATGATTATTATCAACAACCTAGACAAATGACACCCATGACACACCAAGTAAAGGTTGGACTGATAAATCATAAAATGTCACACTAAAGCTCCGTCGAATAAAGTTAGAAGAATAACGATTCTACATGCGGGGTCAGAAGACGGCTGGGTACCAAACTGTTTATTTTTGACAGCCTAAAACATTTCAGATTTCAGCTTAGATTACCACTGCGATACAACTGCTGAAATTTTTGAGGATTGGTTTCAAAACAAATTATTACCTAATATACCACCAAAGAGCAGTATTGTGATGGATCCTACCATAGTCGCCAGTTGAATAAAGTGCCAAGTTCCACAAGCAGAAAGATAGAGATACTAGACTTTTTGTCTGAATGTGACATATATTTCCATGATAGTTATAATGTTAAGCAATTGTTAGGGGTTTTGAAATATCACAATTTAAAAAAAGAATACTTTTGCGATAAAATTACAGAGGTAGCAGGTCACGAAATAATTCGGCTTCCGCCATATTACTGCATTTTTAATCCGATCGAGTTGATATGGCACAAACTTCAGACTAATATACGCGCGCACAATAATACACCAACTTTAAATCTAAGTGTAATTGTACTGATAAGAACAGAAGTCAAAAATGTAACCGTTGAAAACTGGAGGAATTGTACTGAACCCGTTAAAAAAATTGAAAACTCATAGTTCTATGTATATACATATCCTAGTACCAATAAAGGGAATTATTATTAATTCGGAAGATATTAGTGATAGCGAAATTGATTTAGAGTAAGATATGGTGTTTTATTTTGTTCCTGAATCTTAGTATTATATACTGCTGAAGTATAGTATTACCGCAAATTTCTGTTTGTTTATTTAATTTCCAACCAACTATATAGATAATCTTTATTTCGACACATTCTGAAATACTGTCAGCTATTACGTTTTGCAGAGATAGTATTTTTATTAGGTATAGTGCGGCCCTACACGGTAAATCCGAAAAGTAAAGCCATCTGAGGTCAGGACAATCATACACAATATATCATAATCAACTTAGCTTTTACATCTAAAATCCCAGCTACCAGCTTATGACACATCCACGTGTATGCATTACACTGGTAAAATATCTGAGCTTGCATATTCTCACTGATCAAACTATATTACTCCACTTTGAGACACTCTTTAGTTATTATTTGAAACAATGAATCACTTTAACTTACTTTCAATTTCAGATATAAACCTGAGAAAGGGATAGAAAGGAAATCCATAAATCAAACTATTCGGTTTCCTAACTGAAATGATTATGTTTATTATCAGATGAATAATAAATGAATGAAAATAGGATCTGGACCTTACTAAATGACATAAAACTAACTTGATATTCACTGAATCTGAAGACTAGTAGAGAAATAGTGATAATTAATATTAACCGTGATGGACTATGATAATTGAGTTAACAACTCGAGTAGTTGATAACTCTTCAACCCATAATGAAAGTGAAGATTTCAAAGTAACAGATAACTTTACCAGCGTTCTGCATATCACGTGACAGAACTGAACAGAACAAAACACAAAAACGAACTTCCCCAAAATTGTGTCAAACAATACTTTTGTATACTGGATATATCACGTGACATGAGGGTAGCGAAATTCAGCACCAAATTGTGTCTAACCAATCAGGAGTTGTTTTTCACTTTCATGGGTGGTCTAGTGCCTGTATAGAAATTTCTCAACCATCCTCTGATAGGTATCTGTCCCAAAGACGACATTCAACATAATTTTCAAAAGCAACAAGTTTCACTTGACATGTTTATTATTTCAACTAAAATGTTGACGTTGTCCGGGCGCAATCACAGATCCTTACAGTATGTGTTTGTAGAAAGAAATCTATTCGGACCCCGATTATATGAATCGAGCTAGCCTTGTCTGTTTTACAATTCAAAAATGGTATCGGGTTGTTGGGAAAAGGCATAGAAAAATCCCAACAACTATCTCTCCAATACCGTGTCATTATTCACCTCAAACTAATTTGATATTAGTTAATTTAATCTAAAATATTCTGGTCGCAACATATCACTTGTAAATCTGTTCAAATTCATTTGCGGTGATGGTAAATTGAAGACCCGTCTTTTATTATCTATTCTTTACAAGAGGGTTGTAGACTGTAAATTTCGGTTCCGCTCGATTTCGGCGAACTGTGAAAGATACTGGACGATGTAATTTCAACCAGTTTAGGATTGATACGATATTCTGATGAATGATTAAGACCTATTCACAGTAGCTTTCTTACAATCCGACTACTATTTTTCGTTTGATAATAATTCATTTTTCAAACTAATCTTTGCTCTTTGCTGTACTGTTTAAATTATCAACGAACATGCTAGCTATGGCTACATTTAAAAGTGATAGATCATTTATCTTTGATGTACTGCACTGAAAATGAACTTGTTTGCGCTCTCTAGTGGCCGACCTAGAAACTTGAATTTTTTTTGTTCGGAATCTGAACACTCAACGGTAACGTATACCTACCTATTTGTATCACCTTGTCTACCTTTAAATACCCAGTGTCGGTAATTTTAAAATGTTTCATGCGAAGGAAGCGTTGAACGTAAAAATGCAATGACTTGAAAATCATATTATCCGCCTTCTTACTTCAAAAAATCAACGGAAATTTAGTGCGATTACATTTATAAATGATCACCCAATATACTATTACCACTATCTTCTGTATGAAAAGCAATAATGCAGCTAACAGGGCGATTTCATTTGGAATAAAAATGTTGAATTGAAAATCTCTACAAAATGATAGAATCCTCATTTATATCCTAAGTGAAAAAGTATGCGTTCGTTTTTTAGAATATCACCTACACGCATTATAATTGACCATAAGTGAACACGAATATAGTTTTGACAAATCATTATTTTCAGGGTCGCATGTTTGCTGCTCCATTTTTTCATGTTGGGTTCGCTGATTTCTGGCTTGCTGATCAACTCAACAGCTTTGTGAGTGCATTGTTGGATTTTCAATTCCTATTCTGTTTTTATTTTATCAATGGAAATTGGTGGGAGGCTGGAGGTTTGTACCTGTTATTAAATTCATATTTAAACTATGTTTGTTCACAATCGTTTTGAAGAAAATACAGTGATTCACGTTTAGTGTATTAAGTTTTTAGATTTCGACTCTTCCATTTCTCAGAAAGAAAACATATTCTAAAAAACATTTCTTGAACACAGGCCTTGGCTTATAACTGGAAAAGGAAACCTGCAAAGGCAAATTTGTCGAAGGGGATTTGAATAACTGTGTAAAGTATATTTTTGTGTCCCATAGCTATCAACCAAATGAAGTTTTTAACAGAAATTACACCTGCCTTACAGGCATCTTCATCATTTTTTTGAAGTAATCAAATATCTGTCAGTCTAATTCTGTGATTTGATTTTGAAAAATTGCGAACTTGGTGATTGTTAAGTAATTTAAGTTACCGCGAAGTGGGATGGAATATAAATGGACTTTTCTCGGAGACGGTGTTAGTGCTTATTTCTTGGAACTAGCACAACAAAGAAAAAAGAACTACAGTATATATATATATATATACTGTTATATATGTTGTATATATAGTACAGTATGATGCAAATGTATGGAATAAATTCATTATTTCAGAAATGGGCGATATTTGAAAAAATTCCAAAAACACGTGAGTTTTAATTTCTGAAGCCTCATCTCATGATATTCATATGAGAGATGTTACGTCACCGGTGTTGAAGTAAAGACGTAATGGACGATTTTTTCAAATACAAATAGGGGTCATGTGACACCTTGATTGCAAGGTCTACCGATCGTCTATTCAACAGTCAAAATGTTGCATAAGAAGATTGAAATTGAAATGGATTATCATGTTGTTAATTGAATCTTGCAGAGGTCTGCTACTGAGAATTGATCATCGAAGGGTCGTCTAGTTAAAAAAATACGTCGAAAAAAAAGTTCTGAACTCTAGTTTTTGTTTTTTTTTCGAAAGTCGTCTTGTTTTGAAATGAATTTATTCCATACATTTGCATCATACTGTATATGAAAAAGCAGAAATTTTTTCGCGGGAAAAAAGTAATGCATGAAAAGTGACATTCTATAATCTGTAAACATATATACAGGGTGTATCTAAATAACACCGAAAAATTCAAGGAGTGATTCATTTTGATATTTTAGGAAATAAAGTTCATACAAGCATGTGTCCTAACTTGCTACGATTTTGAGATACAGGGTATAAATATTTCAATGAAAAATCTTTTTTTTATTCATTTTTCAATTGTCGTTTCATCAATCTCAATGAAACGTTGTGGTTTTGTTAATACTAATATGGAGCTTCTTCTAGTGCAATTGGATTCGAAATAATATTTCCAGTGGCGTCACAGTGAATGTTATTGTACACCACCGGTTTTTTTGAGATTCATATTTTTATTGGATTGAACTATTGGAATAACAACTTTTTTATCCTCTGTGTGACATTTGTATCCAGCTTAGTTCTTGAGGCAACAATAAAAATTCGATTTGACACCAAATTTTAATGTAGGTGTTTTCAATACTCCCATTGAGATTACTCAACAACCCCAATTAGAATCATTCTGAAATTTTGGGGATTTCTCAGTCTCCATCTATACTGAATTTTGGCAATTTTGACAGCTTACAGGGGGGTTATGAATTCAAACAATTGATACTTCCAACTTCAACATCCTGTATCTCAGAAACGAGGCAAATTAGGACACATGATCATATGAAATTTAGTTGCTCGAATGTCACAAGGAAACCACCCTTGAATTTTTTTGGTGTTATTTAGATACACCCTGTATATATATCCGGGAAAAGAGTACTCACATTTTTTCTGTGGGAAAAAAGTAATTCATGAAAAGTGACATTTTATAATTTGTAAACAGAGATGACATGTCAAACTTTTTTCCGGTCACTAAAAAAAAAATATTTTCTGACGCCATTTCCGCCATTTTGAGATAGATTGAAAAATGTTTAGATACGAAAATATATACCTTACACACAGCTAATCGAATTCCCGTTGCTAAATTTGCATTTGCAGTTTTCCTTTTTCTGTTATGAGCCAAGGACGGGAAGTTTGAATCACTCTGTACATGAATTGCAAATATCATACATAAGCCATTGCCGCATCGGGGCACTTTAATTATCCAGCAACTAATACATCATTTTGTAATTAGTTACGAATTTCTACCGAACTATAATTTGAAATTTGTAAAATAACAATAATTCGACTTCAAACTGAAGCACTGTTAAATAGTATTCTCGAAAATTGGCGGAATAATAGTTTTTCCCCTGATTTTTTCATTAGATCATTACTAAACTGTGAGGTACGTAGTTATTAATTGTTATTCCCGAGTAGAGATGGCTATATTGTGTGTTTTGCTATATGTATAATTTGCTAGGATAAAGTTTTTCTTTTTATCGGGTGATATTGTTCTTATATCAATATTCTCATTTTCCAAGTGAAAAATTTTTGATTAATTTGTTAATATCACAGCCTTCAAATAACTTTTGGTAGATTTATCAATTTTCATTTTCAAGCGGTCTTCGATAGTTTTTTATATGAAATGCAATGAAAGATTGATTTGTATCTGTTGACCAACCTGCATTTCGCCTATTAGAGTATCTGACATTTTTTTCAGTAGTTGATTTTATCACCTTGCTCATTTGAATAATTGAAACAATATATTAGGCGTTTTGCTATGGCTCACTGCAATTCTATACGCTAGGAATCGATATTCATTTCGAGATTTGATACATTATATCAGTAGATATTTTTGACTAAGATTGAATATTGTTTAATGATTATAATAGGATCATCAGCTCATAAAGAAATTGTGAAATTACATACAATATAATTTATGTAAATAATCAATAGAGTCGGTCCTAATATAGAACCTTGCTAAACTTCACACTGGACTAAAGCAAACATTCAGTTTGATATCTATATCATCCTGAACTCTCTATGACTCAAAACAATTCATCATCTGCTGTATGTAATACACTACAAGCCCATTTTTTTGCCATTTTCGCTCATTTATAATGAAGATTGGGATACTGTTTTTTTAATGATCATACTTGTTTCATCAGCAAATAGAGACAATGTCAATTATGTGAAACTTAAATGGAGCACCATATCAAACTCCACAACAGAGTCGTGCAAAAGTCACGTTGTAGTATACAAGTTGATTGTCTTAAAAAAGCTGTTCTTCATATTCCACGACTGAAATAGGTGGAGAATTGATGTTGCTGTAGAACAGGAAAATGTATTATTCTGAGAATGTGTATGCTTTATTTGTCTAAAATAGTTCTAACTACACAGGTTTGCAGTTTGTATCAGAAACAAATGGTAATTCGTTGCTTCGAATGAAATACCCTTTCAATTTTTCTATTTCCTATACATTTTGCTATTTTCTTCACCTATTTGAAGCCGATTTAAAATAATTGATTTCAAATACTGAAAACAAATAGAAGTGTGAAAGTGGCCAAACCGAGAGCATTCAAGGTGGGTGAAATTTTTTCAATGGATAAACTTTATTTTCTCCATTCAGAATTCATGAATTGAACTAACTGAACAGAACTTACAGCTTGACAAACATAATTATATAACTACCATTTTCAGTTTCAATAAACTAGCTCAAGATTGAGTTAAAAACTACGTCAGTAATTAACACAGATTATTCCCCTCATCAAGAAATAGAACAATCAGACACCACCATTCTTTGAACGAAATCTGTTTGAATAAGTGATTAAATCCCAAGATTCCTTTAACCGCGGATAGAGTTTTGTCCTCCATATTGTTTTTAGTTTTGCCGATTATCACTGATCAAGCAACAGTCTATGAAAATACATTAATTTCTCAATCATTCTTATGTCCTAATATTGATTTTCATCAGTAAAAACTCCATTTTTGACAGATTTTTCATACAACTAATATGACATAAGAAAATACCTCAGAATTTGAACTATTTACATGCATACATTATAGTGAAGGCTTCTTCGATGCATTGTTCCGGTGCGCAACCAAGGTAATAGCAATACAAATTTCAATTGAGCGTCATTCTCAAAAATCGTTTGAATTGATTCAATGATTTAATGAAAATCAATTCACGTTTAAGAGATATAGTGATATTATAGATGTACCAATTCATAATGATTTATTGTTGGTTCCAATTAAAGTTATTCAGGAAATAATCTAGCCATGTACCTCTCGACCAATATATTTAAATAGATTGAACTCATAGGTCTTGGAATATAATATATGAGTAAACTGATAAAATCGTCAACTACCTCAATCTACTCTGAAAGGTAATAATTGAACGAAACATACCTCTGCAGAATAAAATATTGAAATTCATTCGGACCATATCTTTTTGTTAAATAGTTGTCAAAACTAATATAAATGAATTCTGATAAATATGTCGAGGGGACGCGTTTCTCTCAATATTAAAATGCAAAGTTGAAGTATTGTTTGAAATATATTAATGACGAACACTTGTTGAAACAAGTGTTCCTTACCCGGAGCAACGCTATGCTTCGCTTGCATTAAAATTGTCTCATGAAATCAACGTATAATGAGAAAATGGGAGAATGTATACATCTTCTTCTCGTTTCTGATTAAACGCAACACTGTATTGATGAAGATATTTGAGACGGATAGAGCATATTTTATTACAAATTTTCAAACAAAAACTGTTTTCCTGCTCTTTTGATACTTTTAAGACCACCGTTATCCATCTTGTATAAATAGCACCATATCATTAATTTTTGTGAAATAGTTTTTAGATGAGATGACTCGAAATGATGTTGAACTCATCTTTTTTATCAACTTCAAGTGCATATTGGAAGTTTATTCTATTTTGATTCTGGCAGTGTCTGCAGGATGAAATAATTGAGTCTCCAACTTTACTGGATAAAACAAATTTATCAAAACCTATTCATTATGTACCATTTCTCTTTTGTAAATTTTCCAGAATCAATTCCGAAAATTTCTTCAAGCTCAATTTTTGTTGAAAATTAACATCATGCGTTAGAATCAGAAAATAAGTCTCAGTAATTTAAGTAATTTTACTGTCGGTTACCATGAGAAAGAATATTGCTATGGTAAATATTGTAAATATTTGTTCTATCCGTCATATGCAATATGCAACCAATTTGTTGAAAAAATATAAGGGTTAAGATTTCATTATTATATTTTTGTTCAAGATACATCTCAGTGTATGGAAAAAAACTTCATCATTAGACCATTGGTTAACTGTATACCAGCGTGGGTTCGTTTTGCTCAATGCATCAGAAGATATTATGACTCAAAAGAAGCTTTTCCGCATTTAGTGAATGCTGGAAAGTATGCAACTACTTTTCTGGTTGTGATCTTCGCTACTTTGAAGTCAGTATATAAAGGTAAATCTTGAAATGAGTGAAAATTAACAATACAAGCAACAACAAAAATGTGCAATGCCCTATTTTAGTATTGAAGTAAATACATTTAAAACCTTTAGAATAAGAATGCTACAGGGCAAAATAAAGAAATAATTAGTATTGTAGTATATTGCAGTATTTGTTGGGCGATGCAGATTTTTTGGTTGTGGTGATACCTAGTTTCCTGAATTCAATATAAACCCGGATCATTTTGATTTCAGATGATTATGCCAGTTCATCTGAAAATCCTTATGTGTTTTTGTGGATCGCATCCCAAATAATAAGTTCCTCTTATGCGTATACTTGGGATATCAAAATGGATTGGGGCCTCTTCGATAAATCAAGTGGGGAAAATAAATTCTTGAGAGAAGAAATTGTCTATTCCTCTTCAGTAAGCGAAATTATTTATTATTTAATTTTGTTCATTTAGTAAGTACCAACTTAGAACGTAGGAATCTTTATTCATCTTCTTTTCAATGACAGTTATGGAGCTTACCTGTTTTCTACAGAAAACAAACAAGGATAAGCTAACTATGGAATCGTTAGGTATATTCGCCAAAAATAACCATAGAGAGAACCATAGAGAGTGATTATAGCGGGTGTATATCATACTTGTAGGGTCTTACAAATTTTATATCTGAGATATAGTACTAGGGAAGCCCAATCGGGTATTTCGGGATTTACTCGAGCGCGGCAGATTAACATAAGGGGGCTGTCCTTGGACCTTGTGTACTCCTACCATACCTGGGCCCTTTTTATGGTGTCGAAAGTTCAGGGCAGCCGATAAGATTAATAAAAAAAAAATGATCTTCAGAAATACTCGAGCGCGTCAGATTAAGACTTGGTACGTTAATTACATGCAGAATAGTGTGCATTTCAATAATCTGACGATTTGAGCATGACAAAAGGAAATGGGAGAGCCACAAAGTTGCAAAAAAAATCGTCACCTATACTTTCTCGAGCGTGGTTGATTTTTTTCTTATTTTGAAGGCAATTAGTCACGGATCACGGAAATAACATAATCTGCCGATTTGCACAAGCCGAAGTAGCGAAAATCATCAATTAAGTGTGGTGCTTGCAGCCACTGGGAACTATGTACTTATGTAATTGTGGTAACGTAGGAAACTGAAAAAAAAAAAGTATCACTTCGTATATTGTTATCAATGCTTGAACCTTGTCATAAGGAGGACTCTGAAAATGCAATAAAATGAAGGTGTGCTATAAGAAAAAGTATAACTTTGATACGCCACGTATTTTTGAGTAACCCTATATAACGCAAAATATTTCAGAAATGTAATAATTATGAGACTAGATCATCTCAAGATATTTGCCACACTATTGGTCCACCCTGTAAGTCTACATGAGCCTTCCATCTCAAAATTGTGAATTTTTCGAGCTATTGAAGTCCTGCTACAAAAAATTGGCCCACCCTGTATATTTTGTAATTTAGTTATTACATTCAGTTTACAAAAAAAAATCGAACCGTCAGATTAAGATAATTCCTCTACATAATTGTCAGATTATGGGACGATACGACAAGGACATTAGGATGAAGCGTCTGTATAATAATCTGACGCGCTCGAGTATTTCAAGGTCACGATTTTTTTTTTCATCTTCAAAAATTGATCATGACTTTTGGTCGCGTTCAAATTGTCAGTCTTTTGAATAGGAGCTACTTGAGGATTCACTTAACGTCCCTTTTCAATACCTGACGCGCTCGAAAGATTTTTTTCACCTATTCTCTATCCCTTCGTACGGCCACCCCCACCATGCAAACCGGCAAATTAATATTTTTCGGTTATCAGAAACACGTGGTTCACATACACTATTAATATCTGATGCGCTCAAGTATTTCTTTGTTTTTTTTTTTCACATTTTTGAACACCTTTACAGACTCTCTCCCCACCATTTTCGCATTTAATCTTCACAATCTGATACGTCCCCATGACGCTCGAGTAAATCCCTATTTAGCCTCTTTGCCTCCCCTACTATAGGGTATTTTATCAATTTTGCTCAATTCTTTGTGAGGACATCTTACAAACCACCCAGTATATTCTTCCGAAATTTGGTACACAATTCCTCCTTTCACCCAAAAGACTCACCAATCAAGTCACCAGAAAAATCCAGGTCCGGATTAACGAAAATTGATCATATTTCTGGGTCCAAAAACAACACCCGCCTGTATTTTCGAATTTCCAAGAATCGCTTACATATTCGAAAAGTGCACAAAAAGCTGAATCAAATGATGTTGACTGATGCCCTAATTTACTAAAATTCAAATTTTGTGGAAACCATAAGAGTTATCGAATATCATCAGGAGTACCTTCTTTGTAGTTATCATTACACAATCCAAATTTCATGTTCAAACCCTTCTTTTTTGTGATTGGCGTAGAAGTTTTAGATGTTCACTTACTGAAAAAATCAAGTTCTACGCCCATGGAATAATATTCATAATAATTATGGCATGGGTTTTATTACTCAATGAAGCTATGCCAACGTACCAATATTGAGTGAAATCTCATAAGCCGTTTCAAAGTTTTGAAAGAAAAACGATTTGTTTGTTTCGGTCTGCGGGATATGTAGTAGTTTTTTGTAGAGACCTTTTAGTGACACCCTGAATAATTGATGATACGTTCGTACATATGTTTCAGTCTAAGGGATATGTAGTACTTTTTTGTAAATACCTTCTAGGGACATCGTGTATAACTGATAATTCGTACGTTCAATTTTCAGTTTTACTACTTCGCAATCGTGGAAGACTTCATCCTCCGGTTTATCTGGACAATAAACGTTTACTTGACTGAATATGGTTACGTGAGTGGGGACATGATGACGTCGATCCTTGCTCCACTCGAGGTCTTTAGAAGATTCGTCTGGAATTTCTTTCGATTGGAGAACGAGCATCTCAACAACTGTGGTAAATTCAGAGCAGTTCGTGATATTTCCGTTGCCCCGATCGATTCGTCTGACCAGACACAAATTTTAAGAATGATGGATGAAGAGGATGGCGTCATCAATAGAGAAATGGGGAAGAGGAAATCAAACAAAAAGAAAGACGACAAAAAGCCGTTGTTGCACGATGACGCTATCATCAGTTTCAAGGCCTTACCAGTATCTAAATTGCAGGCTTGAAACCTTCATATTCTTCTAATAATCATCGAGTCATTTCCGTGAGACGCGTTTTGAACTCATCACCCAATACTATGAATCGTGATATTGGTGATATATTTAAAAAAAGAAGTAAAGTTCAGTTTGGTTAGGTGCTGTGCAAAATGAATTCAATGTTCGATTATCAGTATAGGCCAATTGTTTGAGGGATTTCTTTCTCTCCCAATTACAATGAAGATTTGGTACATTCTGTTGAAGCATTTTTTTACTGGTCGGTGAAATGCACTAACATTATTGGAAATTATGTATCATGGTGTATACTGACGAAATCATTGTAGAGTAGGAATTGCCGTCGTGTATCTATGTTTTCCTAACGGTAAAATGATGTTTTTATATCACCGAATTGATGAACTATATGAATTTGTTCCTCTCTGAATTTCTAGCTTGCAGGTTGTCCCAGACTTTCTTCTTTAGGCTCATAGACGGATCGGGACAATCAAGTCGGATGAGAATGAGCTACAATTATTATTCTCAAAGTTCTTCACATTATATCAATAATCGCTTTTGCCCTCCAGCACATTTTTAAGGTTCTTCAGAAAATTACAAAATACAAATATCGTAAAATAGAATAGACGACCAATAATCATTACTTACATGAAGAGAAGACTGTTATTTGATGGCACCAAAAGAACAAAAAAACAGTTGATTTTAATGAATAAAAATTGAAAAAACACGCTCTTATAGATAGCCGAAATAAAAAAGTTGTAAATTGAATAATATAAGTATGTTGATAAGTACACACAGAAAATATTACTACCCGTAATCAGTATTTTCTATGTCATGTATTTATCAACTCACTTCAATTATTTCATTTCCTACTCTTTTTTAGTTTGGCTATCGATATAAAAGCGTGTGTTTTTAGTTTTTATTTCTATTGTTTGTAACTATCGCGCTGCAGTGAAAGTGGGTAGTTTGGGCGCCTGTTACCTTCTCTGGATGTTGTAACCGTTGTTAGGCTCCCTCTCGAGAGAATTCATTTCGACCTTTTGAAGTGGGTCGCGCGAAGAAGTGTGCACATTATATATTTCTATATGAAACTCTCTGACATTTTTGTTTATTAACCTTTATGGTCCTCAATCAAGCAAAAATCTAAGAAATCATTCATCTCCAAATGTCTTAACAATAATTAAGGCTTTTTGAGACACTCCAACACTATTTTCTATATTAAGCTGAGCATATCAAATATTTTGGAACATCATTCTTTGACGTTTGTAAAAAAAATGTTTGCAACTCGTGCGCGAAATACTTCGGTGATCAAGAACTGATTTTTATAACAAGGCGCAGCCGAGTTGAAAAAATTGTCATTTTGCGCACTAAATACAAAAATAACTAAGGTAACAATGACTTCTTATGCTTCTAACAATTTTTTTATCAAAAACCACCTACTTTTCCAGCATGTATTTCACCAAGATGTTGAAGGTAATCGTAGCCATAATGAAATTTGGAACTGCATATTCCTTTAAGTTTAAAAGAATGATTGAACAATATTTTTTGGTTATGATGAATTAAGAGGCCGTTTCCAGGTCCCAACACATGGTTGTATAGAAAATTGAAAGTCAATTCAAAGTTCACTTCTGGTTCTAATATATTCAGTCTTCTGTGAGGAATTTTGAGTGCATTGGCGGTTACTTATGTGGTCGGTGATCTGTGGGGTGATTTTTAATGCCTTGCCGAAAATCATTGAGAATTATATGAATTAATTTTCCTCCGACTCAATCAAACAGATATTTCTAATATACCGGGTGAGGTAAATGAGCCATAGTTTTCAGTGTTGAGGCTTATAAGCTTGTTCGCTGTTTCTGTATGAAATTTATATTGTACAACATACTTTTACACTACACTTTTCGGCGTGGACTAGTGTAGTGAAGTGGAGTGTGGTGAATTGATATCCTATTATCCCTGTTCGTTGCTTGTGGTGTATTGAGAGTTTGTTTAATTCAGATGGTAAATCAATTACAAGTTCATCTTACTATCAATCAATTAGAACTATTTGCACTACACTTATCACACCCCCTCCAGATCAAGTGTAACATTTCGTTTTGGCGATAAATTATTTCAAATTATTGTGCTACAATACTTTGACAACGAACACAATGTAAGTATGCACTATATAACACCGAACGGTATCAGGGCTACACAATCCACTCTGCTGTACAATATTGTAGTTAATGGAGGCACAGCAAACACGCCTTATCACCAAAAAGCTTGCCTAATTTGAATTTCATACTTGTGAAACTAGAAATAATGACATATATCTATTCAATACTTCGTCACTCGTTATAACAATGTGTCCCGTTTCAAGTGAAAGCACCCGTTCAATAGAACGATTCGGTTTTCTTTTCAAAACATACCTACTACACAAAAATATGTTCTATTCGATTTTATGTCCTATAACCAAATCACAAGAATTGAGAACCTATTCGCGGTCGCATCTCTAACTTTTAATCTGTGCCAGGAGTTAGGATGTTTTCCTGTAATTTTGAATGTCATCGCAATGTCATCTAATGACCTTTGAGACCGCGAATATTAGGCAATGACAACTGACATCGGTAACTACTCGATATTATCATCGTTACAAGGTGTTTTTTTGATATGCATTTTTGAAGTGTGACTGAGATTATTAAGTTTAGTCAAGAATTCTTCATTTTATAATAAAAAAGATTTCAACGCACAGAGATTATCATGAAATAAAATAAAAAATAATTAGTTTTAGACAACACCTTGTAACTCTGAAATAATGTCTAATACAGTTTCCTGGTATTTGTGGAGCAAATTTGTCCACAAGAGGCAATGAAATGATGAACCGAACAAAATTCATATTGACCATGTGATCAAGGTTAGGTCATGAAATGTTACCAAAATATTGATAATCATAACCACCCTACACAGTTTCAAGTTTATATGTGTATTGAGTCCTAATCTTTGTTGAGGCCGATGGAAGAAACAGATTCATCTCCTGTGAATTTCTACAGACAAATTTTGCACTTTACAGGACATTATTATATATTTTGATTTTTTACACTTATTTTTTTGATGTCCGCATGTTTTATGAATATTGTTGAATGTTGATTCAATCCAAATAATCATCGTATTAATCTTACTATTAGAATAGGTAACCAAAGAAACTAGGTATTTACTGTAAGCACACAAAAGCAGAAACGTATGGTATAAATATATAGACATTCCTAATGAGACCATTTTATCCAAATGATTAGTAAATATTGGATACAAATAGATGTTCATATACAGGTGATAAAATTCATTATCAATGAATATAGTTATATTTTCCTTAACTGTTTATATTATGGGTATATATATTCACCAACATGTTTATCTATGATTCTGATTATGTACTTATTTCAAATTATTAGACAATATACTTTCAATAATTTGTTGTTGTTTTCGATTCCCAAATTCATTCTCCAAATCTATGACACATGTTTTTCAGGTATTCTGCATACAGTAGGTCTCTTCATGCATCATTCTTCCACAAGCCTCCACGCCCAGTATCTGAGTATAAACTTTCGATTGATTGTCTCTCTTACTCCATGAAACAATTCTCAACTCCTTTAACGGACCACTCAGAATAGGCTACTGGACCGATAGTGAATAATTGGCAGTCAATTACTCTACTGTGTTGTTACAGGGAGCTCACCTAATTTTTGCAATACCTACTCGTTTTTTATGTAAATATGTATGTGTCTATACGTTTTTCGAAATGGTTGAATATCAGAACTCATTTCAAACGTGCCGTCGTGGCCGCCATGTTCTGGGTATCATTGACACGTCGGATACTGTAACGGGGCGCCCGGCTAAACACCGCTGCTGATCAAAGGGTGGAGGTTATTCTCAAAATCAATACTAGGGTGGCTTGTTCTTACTGACGAATTTATTTAATTCAAGCTCTCACAACCTTGAAGGAAATACAAATAAGTGCCATCGCTTTCAGGAGGATTGCTATATATATATACAGGGTGCGACATAACAAACAGAGTGCAATTGCGATGAGCGCCTTCATCCGATGTGATGGGGATCCCTAATAACACACCTCCATCCATTGGACATCCTCACCCGGACATCCACAGGATAACCACTTTGTGTACACAGGACATCCTATGGATGTCGATAGAATATCAGCTTTCCACATTTTAGGACATACATACGTTATCCATGATGGACATCCATTTGGTGCACAGAGAAAAACGGTCCAGGTACACAAGTACACTTGAGTAAAATTCAATACCCATAAATATATTGATGAACTTTTGTACCATTACAATAGTTGAAATTTTTTTCTGATATCGATCTCCAGTGGCAGGTTAACAATGATCCTGGAACAGACCATCTTTCTCCTGCCTGATTCATTTTTATCAATGTGTTTTTTTTTATCGCTTGGAGCGCACGAAAGGGAATCCCTATAATGTTCAAAGAACGTCGTGCGTTCCTAACATTAATATAATTGCCCCTCAATCATTGTTTTCTATGAGTGGAAGGAATAATTCTGCCATTATTACCAGTTTAATTAATAGCGACAGGTAACAGTTCAGTCGATTTCTCTGTTTCGTCATCATTCGGCTGATTTCGAATCCCTTCGGTTACGCCACGAGCTGACTGCGCAACTCTTCTGCCCTTCATTCCATCAATGAACTCTGTCTGATGTATCTGTACTGAGTATTCTAAAACATTTGTGTTGTGCATGTAAGTTAAGTGAATGTGACAATTCCAAAAACATTTCTCCCAGTGGAATTGTCACTATGGAACAGCATGGTTTGGAAAAGTTTACGCAAAACTTTCTTATTGGTGAGTAATATACCATTTCTTTTTCTCCGTGCATGATGAAACCTCTTTGGGCACACGTTTTTTTATTGATATGTTTTTCTCCTTCCGAAAATGATTCTAAGTCCTCTATGTTGTTGGTTGATCGTTTGCAATCAATTGTTACATCTGATATTATATCTTCGTTTTATTCGTGGTTCGTGCCATTTATTTTTCATTTGAAGAGGCTATATTTTGAAAATAACTCCTATTTTGGTTGTGGCTTTTCAATATACCGAGTGAAGGTATGCCTAGTTGTTAAAAAAATATATATTCTCAGAAAAATATATGGATTAATCTCAAGTTATTAC